ACCTCTATATGAATGAAAATAGTATATTCGTGATTACCGTGATCAATTATTCCCCTTGCTTTGAGATTTCAAAAGAATGCCTCTCGCCATAAACAAAACAAAAAGATTTAAGAAAAAGTCAACGCAAAAAAGAAATAAAGAAGAATATAAAAAAACAAACATTCCACACAGGAATCGAACCTATGTCGCGTTATTGGCCCACTTACGTAAGTATTCTTCTCTTTTTCCCTCTTACATCGTGTTCTTTTCTCGTTAAATATAAATAAAATCACATGATATGTTCAAACAAGTGTCATTTGTTATTATTAAACATTTTTTAATTAATGGATATGTTTCTAACTTTATCGGAAATGAGTAGTTATTGATAATGTTTGTCTCTTCATGTAACAAACAACAAAAATAATTTATCGGTAAAATATCAAAAACAAACGAAAAAAAAAACATTTTTTTAAAAAGTTTTCTTTTTTATTGTGATGGTGTGCCAACTACAGAGAATAATAAAGAAAAAAAAAATGAATTCTTTAAGAATTTATGATACGGTAATAATTCGATTAAAAAAACAGCTATCAAAAACTGATCGATCAGTGCTCAAACTGACCTATTCCGAGTTTTTGACAGACTTAGTCTCTCTTCAGAACAAATTCAAAACGTTCTTAGAACCCTAGTTCATGTAAAATAAGAAATATGAACAGCTGCATATTTAATCATGCACATGATTATGTTCTATCTCATCCAACAAGACCACCGATAATCGATAGAAATAAAAAACAATATTGATTGTAAATAATTAACGTAAAATCTTAAAATCTTGACTTCAACAGTGCAATTGACATAAATGTAAATTGATTTTCTAAAGAAATCAAATAAAGCTCGATTCATTATAATGCCATAGATATTGCTTTAAGTATCTGGTTCTTGAATTATGTTTCATTTTCTATTTACGACTATTCATTTTTGAATATTTTAAGTTTCTTTTCTTTTTTACAGAATTTTTTTAAAAAGTACTCCTAAAAGATTTTGGTTTGTCAGCATCACTATATTTGAACAATTATATCTTTGCATGTATATGTAACATAACATAGTTAAGATAGAAAAAATAAACATTAAAAACGTTGTTTCTAAATGAAGAAAATAGTCCTTAGTGATGGAAGAAAAGAAAAGAGAGAATAAGAAATTTTTACCATTCTTGTTGAAAAATCTTTTTTCAAAATATGCTGTTGAGAATAGAAAATACATCGGTGAAAATTTAATCAAATATTCACTTCACTAACTGTTGCTAATGATATATTTTTAGAATATTAATATCATATAAAAGATATCTAGTATATTGATATGTTCCCTAAAGAATAAAATTTGAATGACTTGTTTGATGTTTGAGAGTATTATTTTCGGAAAGAAATCTATGAATTATTTTAATATTCTTTAGTCTTATAATCAATGAATAAAATACAGCAAGATGATAAATTTATAAAAAAATAGCCACTATGTTAGGTGTCAAAGAAAATCAATATCAAAATGAAAGCTAAAAAACTTCATAAATAACCAAATTCCTTTAGAAAACAACAAGAAAAACCTCTTAATCATTGTTTTATTTTATTTTCTTTCTTATGTTCATCTTTTTTTCTACGCATGTTCATGAGATATAATTCTAATAAAAAAACGTGAAAGGAAATGGACATACTTAATCATTAAATCGTTTAATTTTGAAAAATACACAAAAATATCTAGAATTATGTATTTCTGAAAGAATAATTCAATAAATGAAAAAGATCCATTCAAAGTCATATGATATGTAAAAACGTTTCTACTGCTTGCTATTAGCTAATCGTAAATTTTATCGTTCATGTTGTAGCCTGAATTAGAGACTAAGAATTATGATCTGAACTATTATTTGATCATCGATTGTTTTAATTCAGTCACAATCTATTCTAAAAGAAAAAAAAAAGCAGCAAATAAAAATGCTACATGTGTTACGTAACATACGTATATGATCGCAGACCGAATAACTGTGAAGGTCCTTGCCTACTCGATAATGAATATTGACTGGTTTTTTTCTTAGCAAGAAACAAATTTTATAAGAAAAATCTCGATTACTGTCCATTTTCAGAATAAATTTCCAAAATACCAAAAAATACATTTAAAGATGAAATCTAATTCGAACATAAATTAATCTATATAATAATGTCTAAAACAGACTCTTTTTATAAATACTGAGTCAAATCAGAAAAACAGAAGAACTCAAGAAGAAATAGGACTCAAGAGAAGCAAAACATTTTAGAATTATGTAACACAATGGTAGTTGAAATCAGCATCAAATACTAAAAGTATAAATGCAGTAACGTATTTGAAATATTTTCAAAGTTTTTTCTAATGGGATTTGTATTCTACAATCCTGAAAAACATTTGATGATTTGTACCAATATCATAGTTATTTTTGTCTTTTTTTCTCACACAGTTGCTTATGCCATATTAAAACTAGCTCATACATATCAATCGTTTATAGAGCAGAAAGATGAAAACATCAGGTGAAAAAACAGAAACAAATTAAATTTCACTGAAAGAATAGTATATTCCTATTGTTTTGTAACACTAAACTAATTATATTTAATAAATTTGTTTTTCACTAAATGCAAGTTATGTTCTGAAGAAACTTGGCGTAATAAACATTTTTGTATCATCTGTTTTATTGATCTGATATTATCTATGTGTAAGAGGGTCCATATTTTTTCAACGATCGATATATTTATTTTCGAGAATGAAATTCCCGATTAACATGCAAGTCATCTGATTTTTTCCAAGATGATATCTTTTTATTATTATTCTATCTCGCTATCACACAATAAGACAAAAAAAAACACTTTAAAAATCTTTCTTTGTTTGGTTTTGATATTTTGCTGATAAATTGTTTTTGTTTGTTATTACATACATTGATAAACATTATTAAAAACAAAAAATTTCAAAGGAAATTAAATGAATATGAATTAATTAAAAAAATTCTAACAATAACTGATGATATTGCATTTGAATATTCACCTGATACAATATATATTTAATGTGAGGGGATAACAACATGAGAGAGAAAAGACAACAGTACTTCGAATTAACCACTATCTAAGAAAACAGATACTAAGTTATTAAAAGTAAAGCAAACACGCTCTGCACAGACTTGTTATATATATGCTTAAAATAGTCATGAATAATCCTATTACAGACTCAAAGAAATTCGATGTAACGAATTTTATATTATCCATAAGAGTAAAAAAAACACTATTGTTGATAATCCGTTGATTTTTAATAAAAAATTGTATTAGGAAAATTCTTTTAAACCAGAAAACGACATTTATTCAACTTTTGATTTAGCCAATAAATAAGAAAAGATAGAATTTGTTAGATTTTCTTCATTTATTTATTATGAATTGGGTATCCTTCAATTTCGGCAGTATAAATTTGACTCATTTCATACTAAAATTAGAATAATCATTACATATTTACTTTCAGTATTTTTTTATCGAACGATAAAATATTCAAGCGCGTATATCTTTTTAGAAGATTTGTGCAATTTTAACGCAATGGTGATTTTGTGTGTGTAGCTTATCTCAACCTAAAATGTGGCTTGGTGGCGACACTGGCCTGTCAAAAAAAACATTGGAATTTTTAGAAAAAATGATGCAAGCGAAAGTGTATATTCTAGAATTTTCGATATATTTTTCGCAAAGAAAAATAAAAATTCAACATAAAGTTGATGTCTTTATTTTTTTTTACTACAATAATGTATAGGAGTGACATAAATAAATGAATTCGTTATTTTTAGAAAATAAAGATTCATGTTCAGAAAGATTTTTATCATAAAATAAATGCATTTATACCAAAAACAAGCTAGTTAACACATTCTATGATTTAATGTTTTTTCTCCAATATTTAGCAGACTTGGATTAGAAAAGTGAAGATTGAATCAAAACAAATATCATATTCTGAATCAGCATTAAAAATGGAACTGATCTATGAATATTTCAAAAATTTTTAAGATCTTGTTTTTTCATCGAGAAATTTTTCTATACTCCCCTCAGGATGATCGAGTCGCAAAAAATGAAACCCATAAAAAATGATATTTTTGTCATCTAAATATTGCCCATTTTGTGTTGTATTATCATTTTACAATTAGAGAACTTGTTTGCCATTGCGGAAACTAATTTTGGGTAAAATTCATTTTTTGACTTAATCTTCTTGAGAGAGAGTATGGGAAATTTTTTCGATGAAAAAAAAGATCTTAAAAACTTTTGAAATATTCATAGATCAGTTCCATTTTTAATGCTGATTCAGAATATGATATTTGCTTTGATTCAATCTTCACTTTTCTAATCGAAATCTGCTAAATATTAGAGAAAGAACAGTAAATTATAGTATATCTCAACTAGCTTGTTTTCGGTATAAATACATTTATTTTATGATAAAAGTCTTGCTGAACATGAATTCTCTGGTCGTAGAACTCTTCCAACATCATTGTCTCTCAAAAAAGAAAAATCCTTTATTCCTTTAATTTGTCTTTATTTTTAGAAGATAAATGATTCACTTATCTTTATTCTTTAAAAGTAAAGGATTTATTTACCTTTATTTCATAAAGTAAAAATAAAGTACCACCCCTAATAATGTACATTAGGAAAATCATTTTCAATATTTTTTAAAGAGTTCATATTTCACTTTATTTGATGTTTTAACACACTCTAGAATAGAAGTCATCGATGGTACGATATGTTTGATGAATTTTTTCTTTATATTCATGTAGATCTGTTTTTCCTGGTATATCTTTGTATGAATAACCTTGATTAATAAGAAAACCTTGTCATGTAACTGAATAAAACATTTTGAACACTATCTTGAGAAGCAAGTGAATAAAAGAAAAAAGAACTATTCTATTTTTGAATATGAGCATTCTGTTTAGGTCGTAAAATACGACCAATTGGTTGTGCTGGTTGTCTTCTTAATACTCCATGAGTTGAAATTTATGTTAATCCATTAGCAGCAAATAAATCAAATGATGTATCAACAACTTGAGAAAGAATAATTGTTTTTATATTTGTATCATGTTGAAGATCAAGTAAAATTTGCATAAGTGTTTAAGACAAACATAATATCAGAAACAACCAATTATTTTTTATTATCACTTTGTTTAAGATAACATATTAAAGATTGACATGCACGAAAACTTATTTAGATTCATCATACATAAAAGTAAACGTCGAAATTGATCATTTTTAATTGATAAATATTTTTTAAAAAATTCTAGTGTTGTTCGATACCATGCTTCGTCACATTTAATTTTAGCAATATGATCTAAATTTTGTAATTCTATCCAATTAGCTTCTTTTATTTATTGCACAAGCAGCTGTCACCAATTAAAGATTTACCAGCACTACATAGCAGAACAATCAAATCAGACCAGGCATATCTATTAGCAAACATATTTCTTAAACTTGATCGAAGTTCACTGTTCAAACTTTTAAATATTCTATTACAATGAAAATTATATTCATCCAGTAATGGATATTCGAATTGTTGACGTCATTTACGTAAACGTTTAATTTTATTTGGAAGAATTTCAAATGAGACTTCTTTTAAATCTTCATTATCATGATTAATTTTTTCATATAACTATCGAATATTATTAGATATTTGTTCATTTATTGTTTTCTTTTCTTTTTTCAGAATTATTTTACAAATGAAATCTTGAACTTTTTCTGTTATTGTATTTATATTAAGAATATTATCTGTTGTTATGAATCGATATTTTTGAGTTTGTGAATCTTGTAGAAGAATTTTTAAAACATTAGGAAAATGACTTTCAATACAATATCAATTATGTTTTAATACTAATTTTAATTTTCCATAACTTAATGTACATATTTTAATAAATCCAAATAATATGATTGGTTTGTATACTAATCGATACAGTAGCATAGAGTGAACATGCTGATAATTTATATTCTTGTATATATTCTGGTTGACTAATAGGATCCGCAATAGTTATTATAAAAACATGAGCTTGTTTATAAGCTGATGGAAATGATTCAAGAAAAAAAATGTGACCATCTGGTGTAACCCATAATGGATGATTTTTATGATCAATTATTAATTTCATATCTGAACGAAAACATCATCTCCACCATGAAGTGAATTATTTAAATGTTAAGATGCAGCTAATAATATGAATAATCCTTCATCTCCTTCAATAAAATCATTATATCCATTATCACATGTACTTTTTAATGATTTCGATGAACGTCATCTACTCATTTTCAATTGAAGCATAGATGTATCTTAAATTTACGTAGTCATGAATGCATAACCAATTCTTATACACACAATAATATTTTCAATACTGGAATCAATGCTGTCTTGATACATATCAATCAAATAAATACAATGGAGAATAAAATATAGTGTATTATTATTATCTTTAATGTAACAATAAGTTGAGATTGATTTTTTTATACTGATGATCACTATAATTGGGACAATCTCTTTTCGATAAATATTAAGAAATCCCCTTGAAAATGGTTGTTGTCGTTTATTTATCTATAAAAATATCTTCAGTTGTGTTTGTATAGTGAATGTAGAAAAGGATAATGTCAGAAAGACAGATTGAGTTAAATCGAAACACAAATAAAAATATAGAAAGACAGTGAGAAAAAAAGTGACAGAATTGTATGAGTATTAGGAAAGTTTGAATGAATAACTTAAGTGAAAATGTGTGCTGCGAGTGTAAGTGGATGTGTGGTGTCGGTGTGGGTGCGAATGAAGAGAAGAACCATACTCACACCCACACCCACACCCACACCCTTGAAAAATCGTTTCCTTTGATATTTTCTTTATTTGTTTCGGCCCAACGTAAAATGTTGGCTGTCATATGATACATGATTTTCAAGACCCAATTAGTTAAATTTATATATTGATAAGTTTTAGTGATGAAGTGTTAATCATCTTCACTCAAGGGTTTTCATGCTAAACTTTGTCATGCATCATAATCATTTTTCTGATTTCTTTATCTCACCATATTCATTCAACATTTTTTTCATAAATTTCAAGTGTACTTTTAGTAGTTCTTTCAATAGGGAAACCTGACTCAATTTTTTGTATATCTTTCCATTCAGTTGGTTTAGAAAAACAGAGAAGACAATGAGCTCCAAACAGACCTGTTTCCATTTGTCTTATCTGGAAATATTTCATACTACAATGAATTGTAATCTGGACATTCTGTTTGAAGATGTGGGTGTGAGCGTGGATGCTGATGTCGATATTCTCTTCAACCCACACTCACACCCACACCCTCAGGTAAAATCAGATAGAAGCGATGAACTGCCGTTATGGAGATGTTTCAATGATGACTCAACATGAATCGTTCTGACGATGATAATGATGGGAAACAGAGCTGTGGAGATAAACCCGTGTTGATCCGACCCGCGCCCCGTTTTCGGATTAGACCTCCGAATGGCGTTCATAGTCCGAGTTGCCCGTTTTAGACGCAACCCGCAGATTCAACCAGTGAAGAAGCTTTTGTGACACAAAGAAATATTTCTATTGAAAATGACACTGCTAGATGATCAATCAATGGATGTCAACAAAAATATGCTTCATTTCGCATTTGAGGATTAGTTGCAAACAGACTGATTGGGAGAGTATAAATGAAAATAGGTGCACTTCTATTTTGACCGTCGTGACGCCTTTTCTGCTTGATAGTCTTCACAATAAAGTCGTTGGCAAATATAGTCATCACAATTACAAAGCATTAAAAAAATGCAATACCATGATCACTATTACGAAGCATTAAAAATACTATGATATCGTATGTCAGTATTCGAAGAATCAAAAAGAGCCTATTTTTTTTCTTCACACGCACATCATTATATAAAGGATGCTTCTAGCACCTTGTGAGAGAAATACTTCTTCAAAAAACACTATCGAAGAATGTTGAAGGCTACCTTGTTAGTACTATTGTCTGCTCTGCTAGTTGTCGTTTTTATTCAAGGTAAAAGTGAAGAAAGTACCGCTCCGTGTTATGCATTATACTTACTATTGTAGAGACACAATCTTATCCATCACAGAAGGCGCACCGTCATTGTCGTGAACACGACAATCAGGAGAACTTTTTCAGACCATCAATGGGGGACACACTTTGAGCCGATCAACGATTAGTACAAGGTGTACAACTTACTTCGGTCAACAATAAATATCAACTGGTCTTCCACCGTGATGGTAAACTCGTGCTCTACTATTCTGACTACAACGTCCCAAAAACGGCGATCTGGTGCTCGGGTCCACCTAACGAAGGTCACTTTGTTGCACCGTATTATTTAATCATGCAGACCGACGGTAATGTGGTTGTACATGATGCGTATTCCCGACCTGTCTGGGCTAGTAATACGGATATGATCGGCCTTCGACCCCATCGTTTAATCATGCAGAACGATGGCAATCTAGTGATCTATGATAGAAACAATAATCCAACATGGACTTCGAATACATCAAGCTAAGTTTGATCTCGGCAGAATAACTTCGTTTTAATAAAGAATAAAAGACTAAAACAACTGAAATGATCATTCTCACACAAATTCAAAACGATGGACGAGAAAAGTAGCGCGCCCCCAAAAGAGTAACGGTAACCAAGAGCTACCATGACCAGTTTCAACTTCACTGACATAGAGTCTCATCAGATGGCTTGAGTTCTGATACTCTCAACAAAAGAGTAAACCTTTTGGTCTGTCGAGATCAGGACAACATTTTTCGGACGTTTTTGTTTTAAGTATAACTTCGCCATCAGTATGTCTTTTGAGGCGCGATTTGTGTCAATAGTGCAGTCAAGATCTATATTATATCCACACAAAATTTCGTTGTTGAGTTATAGTGAAACTGAACCGATAAATATTCGAAGTAGTCACTTTTTGTTGGACAAAACTTTTTGGATGGTCATTATAAATAAAAATTTTTATAGGATCTATTCTGTATATGTATCGATTTTCTATTTACTATTGCTTCATTCACACCATGATCTCTGTTTATTCCTTGAATTCATAACATAGAAATGTTTATCATATCTACAGAACAGTGCAGGTTATATATGACCTACTATGTTCTTTTTTTTGTCCTATGTTGAGTGTCCGAAAAGTCACTTGGCAATCTTTGATTGCGAATTAATTTTGATAGATACAAGATAGAGAGCTGCGGTTTTTATTGCTCGAAAGAAGCCATGTCACTACATGATGTCATGTATGATCAAATTGTCAATCAGTGGATTTCAAAAAAATACTAATAGATCTTTGAAAATCACGCAGAAGTTTAATTATA